TCTTCGCCGATGTGTTGGTAGCAGGTTGGATAGGACAGTTGGGACCAGGACCCGCCTTACAGAGGCAGGGCTCTCCCGGCTCCATTGATCTCATCTGCCCCAGGCAAGGAGACGCGAAGCCAAAGAAAAAATCCCAGGAATCGCCCGGCCTGTTTCCATGTTTGGCATCGAAGGATCACAAACATCAAGAGCATCGTGTAACAAATGACGCGCATGTCCAAGTAAACCCTACATGCGCAAGAGAAAGCACGGTGACGATGTGGGTGTGGGTCAAACATGGGTACTCAAAATGGGTTGCCCTGGTCAATGGAACCAAGGATAAAAAAGCTTGCATACCCATGTGATCACTCGGTTGCTTGCTGCTCCCCTGCTAAAAGTTTAACTTTTAGTGGTTTAATGGAAACCCATTAGTTGGCAAACAAGTTAAAGTGCTAACATCCCTTGGCAAAATACATCAAAGACATGATTGCCAACGAACATCTGTGGGCATCACGATTTTGCAAGGATATCTTCAAACCAGAAATACTCAATTGGAAAGGTCTCCCGGCGCATGCTTTGCATGCGAAACGCAAAGGTCACATGGCAGGCTGCAGTAGTGGACGGCGTTCGGGATGATGTTGAGCTGCTCCTCCGGCACGTTGCCGTCTGACTTTGCGTTCACAGACGTCTCCTGAGCGAGCGGTCGGCCGAGACTCACAGCAAATCCAGGCTCATCTAGGTCCTCCAGTAGAGAGGTTAAAATAAGGGTGCCATTTTTGTCTTCTGTAGTCTATTTTAGTAGGGGAACCCTCCCAGCCAAAAAAGGGTGAGAAAGGGCACCTAGCTGGGGGACCTAGTCATGGCTCTCCAAATGGGAAGGAGCTTGGATAAGCCAAACTCATGTCAGCACAACTCTAGCTGCTTCGAGCTGCTGGACAAAGCTGCCTCGCTGAGAAGATGAGGCTCAACTTTTGGTATCTGATTCATTGACAATCGTGTACTGACTGTTTCCCATAGCTCGCCCCCTCGGACTATATGATCGACAAACCCGCTAAACATGGGACATCATCCACTTAACTACCTGCAGGTGCCATATTTGTGTTCCTGGGTTCCCCACATGTTGTTGGGGGGTTTGGCATGCTAGCACTCTTGTTGGTTGATAGCACGCTCCATCTCCTGCTACGGGAGGTGGCGTTGCCCTGTCAGCATCCCAGCAGGGTTGACTCCGACTTGCTGCCATTAAGCCTTCTTTGCCATATTGAATGCAAGACAACTCGCTTCAAGCAACTCCTGCGTTGGGCTTCATTGCTTGAAGGGGTGGCACAGTCGTGCAAGGCGAAGAAAGGGGCCCGATGCTTGGGGAGCCCACGCGAGCCTGAAAGCGCCAGAATCCCCGCATCAGGATTTCAGCGATCCGAGGCGCAGGTGTCACGTACCACTCCATCCAAACCTTGTTGGGCTCCTGCATGTACGGCGCCTTGGTTCAGAATCTGCAGCGCTGTCTGGAAAGGAAAACCGAAAGGCTCAAAGCGGAAATCTGCGATTTGTGTGGCTCAAATGTCTGCACGCAGTCATGGCATGTTATGACGAAAACTCGACCGCCTTCTGAATCAATGACGCAATGAAAGGTTGAAAGCACCTAGACATCCACCAGCCGGATGTAAACTCTCGAGAAAAAAACCTAAGGCCGCCAAATTGGATCCTCATGGTATGGTCTTTGCCCTGTTCGAACTGGTGCTCCCTGCTGCTTCCCTGGTGCTCCTTAACCTCTCGGATTCCTTCTATTTGCGTTTTCGCCCCCTGTAGAAATTGAGAAAATATGTCCAGTGGCGATAGGTTCCCTTTAACACCAAGAAGGGGAAAATAACGCAAATGGAACAGAAAAGGGCATGCATCGAAAAATGCGCGTCATGTCGGTTGCATGTTGGTTTCAGGTGGGTAAATGCAGCCTCCTCTCAAATGTTGGCAACATGTGCAGAACTTGAAGTGGTCCGAACTTTTTGTTTACCTCCGGGTGAGATCGTGATGAATTGCGACAGCTTTTAAGGTCGATTGGCAAAAGCAAAGAAAAGGGTAGCCATGTTGAAGCATGAAGATTGAATCAAAGCACTGGTTCAACCACTGCCACCTGCCAAACGATTCCCTTCTAGGTCCTCCAGTAGAGAGGTTAGAACAACGATAACCCTTTTTCTGTAGTCTCTTTTGGTAGGGGAACCCTCCCAACCAAAAAAAGGGGGCTAAACAGGGCACCTAGCTGCTTGGTTGCTGTTGACCCCTGCAAAAAAGTTTCTCACTTTGGGGGGTTGGGTGGAAGACGCCTTTATTTCAACCAAAAAGTCTAAAGATCCGTTGCCCAATCGCAGTCAAGGCTGGGGGACCGTTTTTTTGTTTTTGCGGGCCAAGGCGCCACGACCCGCAGATCCACTGGCACCACGGCGCCCTTCTCAGCACTGAAGCCCAGCTGTCCGCAGGTGGTACTGTTGGGCCCGTGCACGTCCGCGCCCTCCAAGTGGACCCTCAGATGGACTCAAATGACTCCGGGCTCATGAAAAAACAGGGCCGTGGTTGAGATGAACCCACTTCTGTGAAACAGAAAGGCTTTCCTTCGACTAATTCCTGATGTAAAGGGGGAGATTTCCTAAGGGTTGCTCCGATGGCTGACCCCCCGTCCAAACTAACATGGAACCCAGAAAACACCCATTTGTAGAGGACACTTGGGGGAGTCCCGGGCTTAATTCCTCGTCCATTCTTGTCACCCATCGTTTTCAAGAACCGGATCCGTTTCCCCGGGGTTTTTGGGGGTTTTCTGAAAAGAAGGATCCGTGGAAAGAATGGGGAAGGTACCCCAAGGACTTCTGTGAAACAGAAGGGCTTCCCAAGGACCAATTCCCGATGTAAAGGGGGAGATGTCCTTAAGTGACACAGCAGGGATTAACCTCGAGTGACCCCACAACCCCCGGATCTGGGCCATGCTCCCATCAAAAATCCACAAACAAACACACGGCTTCCCAACCATCTCCCGTCTGCTTCTGCTTCCCAACCTGCTTCTGAGCCCGAATTGCGAAAATTTTGAAACCACGGGAAGCTATAACGTTTGTTGGCATTTACAGGGAGAATCACTATCCAAGGTTTCTCAGGTGGTGCGAAATGGATTTCGGACTTGAAACCTCTTCCGGTAGACGGCAGATGGTGTTACCACCATCTGTTTCACCGCCAAGCCGGGCTCCAAACTGCCAATCAAAGGGAAGCTGAAATACAAGTATCTAGTGTCAGTCTCATCTCTGGGCTCTTCAAAATGGAGGGTTGGTCAATCCGATTTTCCATAACCCCCACTCACTTCCGATCGAGTGGATGGACCCAAAACAAGCATCCCATCTTTTGTATCAACCCGGGCAAGGATGGTGGACCCTTTTGGGGAAACATGGCGTGCAACTTCATACCCACCCATTAGCGCATCAAGGACATGAAAGGGCATACAAACAAAATGCCCCAAAGTACATACCGTGTTCATACTAGAACCCCTTCAGCCTTCCAGATAGGTCTCCCTTGCTTTTCCTCTGCATCAACCCCGAGAACTGTACTCACAAAAAGGCACCCCTAAAGTGCTGAAGAAAACATCGATGCGAGGCCTCGGTCAAGCCACCCAAAGCACCAAGCCCCTGAAGAGGGTTGATAGTCTAGGTCCTCCAGTAGAGAGGATAAGAATAGTGGCACCTTTTTTCTGTAGTCTATTTTAGTAGATGAACCCTCCCCCAAAAAAGGGGTAAAAGGGCACTACTGGGGGACTGTGCAAAACCAAACAGAGATCCCTTCGCAAATGGGTGCGAGGTTCCGTGATAAAGCTTGAGGATAACAAATGCGGGACTTGCAACTTCTATCCTAAGGCTGAGCCCCAAAAAGCAGCACACAATACAGGATGCATCGTTGAGGCATTGTAGGATTCAAACAAACAAACAAACAAACAAGCAAACAAGCAAGCAAGCAAGCAAACAAACAACTATGCCAAGCCAAGCCAAGCAAAGCTTTACGCCAAGCGCGAATTGAGGCCGGCACCTCAGTTGCATGGGCCACGCGGACTGCGGGCTGATCTCATCGAAGAGGGGCTGGCCCATGTCGTTCAGGATGCCTCAGAATAAATATCAAGTGGTAGCCTAGCCCGAACCCCGAATGTTGACCCCATCTTAATCAACCCCAGTTGAATAACAAGGGGGTGTGCCTGGGCTTGAACAGGGCTGTGGGGAATGACCACTTCTGTAATACAACAGAAAGGGCTTCCCAAAGACTACTTTCTTCATATAAAGGGGGATTCCCTTGTATCACAGAAGTGGGGACAAACCCCTTGATCCCACAACCCTGTTGATGAACATGGGGTCAACATTACAGCCCAACGCCCTGCCGAACCGAATCCCTCGGGTTTGCCAAGCTGACAATTCAGCCGATTCGTCCAGAATAGGAAACATGCCGCCAGAACCCCAGAAAAAGGGGGAAGCTTTGCGCACAGAACAAGGTCAGTTTCCGAAGGGACCTCTGCACATTTGTGCACCTCCCCCAGTGCCCATTCGTTTCCCAGGGCGAAATCCGGCAAAACTCAAGAGGAAAAAAACGGAACCCTTCCTGGGGAAGACCATTTTTAGTGGGGCAGCCACCCCAAAAAAAGAAAAACGAAAAACTTGGAAAAAGGATTGGCGCCACTGAACAACCGACAAAAAAATGTGGCTCGAAGTCCACTGGATGCCACTGGATGCCTCCGTCGAATTCCGTCGAGCCGCCGCCAGGCACCGTGCTCACCGCCTTCCAGTTGTCCAGCATGCCGAACCAGGTGCCCGTCTTCTCCCACTTCCAGCCCCACAAGAAGGCGAAGAAGCCCACGCACTGGTCCTTGACAAGCCGCCGGAAGCGGCCGGGAGCAAAACAAACTTCTCAGGTTTGAAGATGATTACCGGAAGACTCCTCGTGAACCTTGGGATGTTGGGTCATGTGCCGAAAGACCATTAGTCGTTCTGCCCAGGGCAACAAGAGCAGCCAAGTGCACAGACAACCGACTTCGGGCGCTGGCCGGCAGCGAGGTGCCCTTCTTGGTCTACATGCATGGTGTCTAGAACTCTTCGCAAGGGTCCCTGGCTTCAAACGCATAGCTCAGAGGGTCCCTGGCTTCGAAGGCATGCCGACATGTGGGACTCAACGCGTCGTTTTGCTTTATCAGCGCCAAGCCATGAGGTGCGCGCCTACAAACAAACGCCCGGACGTTTTGCGGCCTAAGAGAACATAGCAAAACGGTTTGAAACTAGAAGGGCAAATTGCCATGACACACCTTCTTCACAGCCGCCGGCTCTTCGCCAGCTCTTCCACGCGTCCATCCAGCAGCTTGCGAAACATGACAGCCCGCGCCCCGTCGCCAGCTGCAGTGCCAAGGCGCGTCCGCCTTGCACATCTGCAAGCCCCTGTCCAGGTATTGGCCCTTGGAGGTGGAAGTCCTCGGACCAAAAAATTGGCACCCGGATCGGCAAAAAGAGCGATGGGTCACGTGCACAGGGAAGCCATGAAAGGTGAACTGCAAAGGGAGGAGAATAAAAATCCTTTTCCGTCAGATTCCTTCAAGCTCATTTTTTTTCGGGCTGGGAAAGGGAACATGCTCCACCCACCGGTGATCGAAAGCTTCTGCAGCCAAAACGGGGAGAGACGGGTTGGGAGGTTCATCCAGCTCCGGGTGGTTGCCCGTGGCCGTTCAGATCACCTTAACAACCCCTCCCCCGTTGCCTTTACTTCCAGCCAGAACGGAACTTCCTTTTCTTGGTCTGGTCGCCTCTGAGCTTCATTTTCTCGCAGTTCCGGAATCCTCAACTCCCTGTTTAGCGAATCCCAGGCAATGCAGGTAATGAGTCAAATCATAGGTGTCCTTCTAGGGCAAATAGATGGCCCTGGTAGATGATTAAACCACCAGGTAAACCAGGGCCATCTATTTTTCTATTAAAACAACCAAAAAGGACACCTATGAGTCAAATCTTGGCTTATATTACCTACACACACTGCCCGGGCCTGAGCTTCTGGTTGCTCTGCTTCCTTGTGACCCTCCGCGTTTGGCCTTGCTTCTTAAGCTTGAGAAGGCAGGTTGAATTCGCAAAACCGAGAGGCCGGATCGGTTTTTCTCCTCCAACTCAGCTTGCATTTGGGAGTTCTGTCCAGATTTGTGGCCCAAGGGTATCCCCCATTTTTTTCTCCGAGCTCCATGTGGCGCCTTGGAGCCCTCACCCCTCACCCCCCCGCGACTCCCGAATTCGACTGAGGCGCAAGGGCTCCATGAGTCCTCCCCAGGAGGTCTTCGGCACCTGCCAGGCCCCCAGCGTGCCGCACTCCGTGAAGGCCTCCGACCCAATGGACCCGCCCACGGCTCGAGGCCGAGGGCTGCCGGGTCGTTCTTCGGGTGCTTGGCACTGACCCCTTAAAACTCCCTGTGCCCTGGGGAAGTTCTCATCTTTTACAGACATATAGCCCATGTTACCCAAAAAAGTTGAAGAGTTGTGTTTTTAAGAGGTAAGTTGAAGAAAAGGAAGGCAGGGAAGGAGACATGAAATTGAACCGGATTTGGGGATCCCCACCAGTTGGAGTTGTTTTTCTTCATTTTTTGCCTACTGCAAAAAAAGGAAAACGGGTCGAGCGAGGGCTTCTTGTTGCGGATGCTTGAAAAAAGGTAGGTAGGGAAGAAGACATGGAAGGAACCGGTTTGGGGATCATCCCTAAAAAAGGAAACCCACCACCAGTTGGATGTTTGTTTTTGCTTGGGGTGAGTCCAATTCTCATTTTTTAGCCTACTGCACTAGCAAGTTTTGGTCGGGGGGTGCATTGGCCCTGTTCCTCACTTCCTGAGTGTGAGTGGATTGGCCAGAAAAGGGAGCCAAATTTGTTGCCTATAACACCAACCTGGTCCAAACCCAAAAGAAGTTTGAAGTCTCAGGGCGTAGGTTTCTGCTCGAATGGGTCCACAAAGGCAAGGTGTTTTTTTTGATGAGCCCAGTGCATCTGAAGCATCTGAAGCATCTGAAGCATCTGAAGCATCTGAAGCATCTGAAGCATCTGAAGCATCTGAAGCATCTGAAGCATCTGAAGCATCTGAAGCATCTGAAGGTGTCGGCCCCTTTCCAAGACACCTTTCATCATCCAGAGGCCATAGGGCAACTAAATCCTGCTTCATTTGTGGATTTCTGACCGTCAGCGAATGGCTTCCTATGCATCCACTGCTCCACCGAACCCCCCAAATGTGTTGGATTTTTGTCCGAGGGCATATGAACCGACCGCTTCATGAAACTTCCCGGAACCTGTCAGAACCTTCCAGAACCCGACCTCAGACCTGCGCTTAGCCTCTCTGGAGCTGATCTGAGCAGAGTCCCTGTTTGCAACTGAGGGGAAAAACCATGCTGCTACCAACTATCAGTTCGCCTGACTTATTAGCCGTGAGGAGCGCGAGCGCGAACAAACGGATTCGCGCACTACTCAAGATGTGCTGCTGCAAGCTGCAGTTGTGTCATGTTGCTTGCTGGTTGAATATCAAATCTGACTCACCGGTGCATGGCGCCAACCAGGCAATATGCGCGACATGCCTGCTTCTGCCTAGGGCTTTCACCCATGACCCATTGTGAATGGAGGGATCCCCAAGTAAAGAAGGACCTTTATCCTGGAGAGCTCGTTATACCTCCGAATCGGTGAGCTATATGAGCACCGAGCACCCAGGCTCCGAATGAAAACGCCGGGGCACCCAGGGCTTGTGCCAGCCATATCGCCGGAGTTGCGCGCCCACATCCCAAATGTCGTTGCCTCAAGCGAGCGATTCCGACAAGCCGATCCGTGTGGAAGAGGGAGACGTGGACCATGCATCCTGCAAGTGGGGACCAACAAAAATGGTTCTCCTCTAAGTGTTGGAATCCCCTTGAAAACGCAAAAGGTAGGAGGCTTGTCTTGGACAAGGGCCCTCTGGTCAACACTTGCTTCCTTCCGATCCGTGGAATGCGCTAACACATCGAACATCCTCAAGGTGAGAGGAGAGAACAGCGACACCTTCCCAAGTTGAAAGTCTAACAACCGGCCCAAGACTCGACTTTGCTCTTCAACCCTTCGTGTCAAAAAAAAAAGAGCAAGAAAGCCCAGCCGTCGAAAAAAGTGGGGAGAAAAACAAGAAAACAAACGCCAGAAAACCCCCAAGCCGAAGGGGGGGGACTAAGGAGGGTCGACCCTGGCCAAGCATCCGTAGATGTTGGTGCCCAGGATGTCCAGATCTGGGCAGAACTTCGCCATCCTCTCCACTTTGGGCCTCGGAGATCTATCCGCGGACGACCGCGAATTACGTCGCCAGAGGCAAATCCTGGGGGCGGAGGATCTCCTTTTGGAGGTCAGAAATTGCCACCCACGGAGGGCGATGGACCTGCCCTTAGGAAACGCCAGGACCCAGGCTCCTCACGGCCGACTCTCCCAAAAAAGAAACATGCTTCCCCCTGAACCTACTTCACCGGCCTGTGTTCAGAGCGACCCCAGATCAGAGCTTGCGGATCACGAGAAGCGCTCCAAGGGTCCACAAATCCACAAAGAAAGACAAAAAACAAGAAGCAAACAATCCAAGGGTCCAAGGGCAAAGACATTCACCAAGAAAAAAGGCCACCAATCCAAGGGCGAAGACATAAACCAAGCGGAAAAAAACCGCGCCAAGTGATGGCTTCGGTTTTTTTCTTGTTCCGAGGCGCTGGGCGATGCCTGCGATGGCGGTGCCCACCGGCCGCTCTGGGTCCGCAGCCTTCAGCTTCTGGGCCACCCTGGGTGCCCCGATGCGCCGAGCGGTCGGGTTCCCTCGCGGGGGAGGGGTTCCAAAAACCCACGGCTGGCTAGACTCATTTTGTGGGAAACGGATTGGAGGCGGTTTTTGTGGATCCACCCCTGTAGGATATCAGAAGAGTATTAACAGAGTACTAAAAAAGAAGCTACAGGCTGTAGCCTACAGGGGGAAGAACAGGTGAAATCCACAAAGAGCGCATCCAGACCGTTTCCCAGATCATTTGGGCTTGCATTTATTTACGGAGCCGGGCAGGAAGGTTTGAGTACGGGGTATGATTCGGGGAGGTCCCTCCTTCTGCCTTTTGAAGCAACTCAACACAACAACAAAAAGACAAACCCATTTGTGGCGACTGCCAGCAATAAGGTGTTTCCGCGGGTTCCAACGGTCAATAAGCCTTATACCCTCCCTCCCACGGAAGCTGACGATGGGAGGGTTTTGGACCACTACTTTCCTTGTTGGGGAATCTCTCTGTCCACTTCCATGCTTGTTGGAAGAAGGGAAGAAGGGTATACGCGAACCAGGTCCTCCAGTAGAGAGGTTAGAATAAGGCTACCCATTTTATGTAGTCTATTTTAGTAGGGGAACCCTCCCCCAAAAAAGGGTAGAAGGGCACTGCTGGGGACCTAGTAGAGGAGTTTCCCTCGGCTCCTGGGCTTTGTCTGGGCAAGAAAAAGTCGCCCGGATTCCCTTTGGCTGGCCTTTCTTCAGCAAGTATCTGAGAAAGAGTAGCCTGATGCCCTGAATCCTCAAAACAGCACCAAGCGTCTAATGACTCATTCAAAGGTTTCCTCTGTTGCGAAGTGTGGGGGGCCTGTCTGCAGTCCAATGTCTGGCAAAAATTTGACAATGTTGCTTGGAGGTCACCGAGTGGAAGCAGCCTAAGACCAGTTCGGAATGTGTTTGTGCATTCGCCCGTGTTTTGGGCTCCAGCCACAAGACAGACCCGGAGGCAAAGCGCAGCCTACTCCGTTTTGCTGCTCTGCCAGCAGGGAAGGTAACTTCGGGCAAAAGAAGCTACTTGAGCAAACCTTGTTTCCAGTAGCAGCCTCTGGCCCCGCAAAGGCGCGCTCAAGTATGCACAAGCACTGGAGAAATGACCCTACCTAAATGAACCACCGGAAGCGGGGAAGCTCTGGTTCTAAGCCATCCCGCGCTTAATCGGAATGGACAATGGGTGCTTTCTCATTCAAGACCGACTAAATGCCATGCCCGAGGTTCACTGCGGTGACCGCACCATGACCTTTAGGTACCCAGTTTCCCCTCGCCATGTCACACGCAAACCTTGCCCGACAGACTGCTAGTTAATCCCAAGAAACCAAATGGTCCTGACTATGGCATGCAAAATCCTGGGTTTTGAAAACGGGGCCTAGAGAGAAAATGCGACTATCCGTCGGTTCATCTGAAACGAGACATGCGCATTCTGGATTGTTAAACTTGACTTAGCACCCACATAGAACGTCAATAGCGTGTCCTAGCATGGTAACGCAGCACACGCTGTTTCCACAATGGTCTCCTGGCTAGCCCACCCATGCAGGCAGCACGTGGGAAGAACAAACATGTCATGAGGGGATGGCAGGCGGGCAAAATCAACTCTCGGTTGCTTTCTGCTCCCCTGCTAAAAGCTGAACTTTTAGTGGTTTAATGAAAAGCCCATTAGTTGGCAAAAAGTTAAAGTCCTAACATCCAAGCAAAATGCACCAAAGAATTGGCATTTTGGGCTCACACCCCGCCTCCACAAGTTGTTAATTGCTACGGAACCCTGCGAGGATTGCTTCTTCTTTTTTTCCCGCGTGGGAACCATGCGATGCCCCTTTCTTGCCCGAGCAGCCAATTGATCCTCTTGAACACACAGTCGTTGCCGCCCTGGTTGTTGATGGGCGTCTCCAACTCATTCCCAACCTTTGCAAATTTACGTGTCAACGGACTTCGATCACTGGCCCAAGTGATAGACCGACTTCCCACATCGCAAGGCAACGGCCGCTTTCGCGACTCACAAAAAGAATGCCAATCCTCATGCCACTCCAAGCAAGAGCTAGAATCATGTGAGGGAAGGCAAAGAACTGGCAAAAATCGCAAAGCAATCTTAATCCCAAGCGCATGGAAGCGACCTGCAAATCCTGGGCTTGACCGCTGAAATTGCATTGATTGCTTCAGAGACTTGTGGAATGACGCCTCCCTGCTGCAAAAACCTGTCTGCCACACTGCGTAATAAAATCCCATGCAGCCTGTCCAAGTCAAGATCTGCCTCGCCGAAAGCTGGAAGCTGTGCAGGCTTAGGCTTTAAACAAGCATCACCAAAAGAGATTGGTGCGTGAAGTTGGCTTTCTCGGCACACCTGCCTTCTTCCCGCCTTTTCACGTTCCGTACCGCCTTCTGGGCCCGACGATGGTCACCACAGGGTAAGTTCAGACACCCTTCCCTTTTGCATCGCATTCCTGCCCGCCATCCCAGCAACTTGGAATCTGACAAAGGCTCCCTCAAGTCGATCATAGTGCTCCAAGAAGCGTTTCTTAATCCTGCCTGTGTTTTCCCTTGCAAGCCCCGCTGTTCTTAGCCCAGCTTGCGCCTGCGGGACACCACCCAAAGGCGCCCGCTTACCAAATCCAAGGCGCCAACCACCACAAAATCCGGGGGTGCGAGGCGTACTGCCCGACTTTGCCCAGGATCCTATGCAGCTCCTGGGCGCGAGGCGCGAGCGGCTGAAAAAGCCTCGCCAGGGATATCTGACACAGGGTTACGGGCCAGCAAGTCCCAATGACTCAAATTTATTGGTTGAACCATTGTCTCCTGCTTTGCCTGTAGGGGGAGGGTCTGGCTGCTTCAGCCAGATTTCTCCAACCCAGCTATGGGAGTCTCGGAAGGTTTCTTACACGCCAAAAACATGCGTGCGAAGGGGCCTCCTGGCCCATCTTCCGGTCACGAAGAGCCCAAGCAGGTGCACCACCAAATCTCAGCCAAGGTTTCAACGAGGTATCCATATGTCCATTAGGCGCCGAAAGTTTCTATTTCGGAGACCCATCTGATCAAAGGCGGGCTATGTTTACCTGCGGCCCGTCGAAAAAGCAAAAGGTAGAGCGTGTCAAGAGTCAAGGGCAAGGCTCGACAGTCAACCTCATCAACAAAGAAGCTGGATCCGCACATGCCATGGAGGGACTGACCTTCTCACACAACCTTTGGTGGCAAGCTAGACCTTGATCACAGAGCTCACGTTGACAAGGGCAAAGGACCAACATTCATGAAGTGCAACACCACCCTGCCAACTTTAGTCCCTCCTGCTTCCAGTGGGCCATGTAGACCCCCCAAAAAAATGGACCAACATTCATGAACCCAACCCTTCCAAAGAGAACTTTCCGTTCCACCCGGCCGTGAAAATGCCAGAAGCACTTCAAGTTCCACTCATTTTTTGGGCAGTCCGCCTGCACCCGTTGCACCTCTCGTTGTTTCTTCTTATTTGTTCTTTTATTTTTCCGGTTCTTCCGAGGCGCATTGGCCCACCACTGGCTGGCGCACATGTCCGCGCAGTTCTCCGGGCCCTGGTACTTCGTGGGGTCCCTCGACATGTCGAGCCCTGCCTCGGGGCGGTGGGCGGCAGCGGTGAACGAAGGGGGGGGGGCCGGAGGCCGCGGGGAGACGTGCCAACATGACACGAATCCTTACTAGGCTGTCCGTTTTCAGATCTCCCGCTAAAAGTTTAACTTTTAGTGGGTTAAATTCGTTGAAATCCCCGCTAAACACCAAAAAGCTAAAAAGGCTGAGGGGATGGCTGGGAGCCACTAAGCTCAGACCAATCGGTAGTGAAACCCATCAAACTCCTCAGCCAAGTAATAGCCTTCCACCCTTCTTCACATGGAACCTGACGTTCGGGAAATGGTTCCTGTAAAAGGAACATGGTCCAAACCAGGACCACCCTGAAGGTCAAGCTCCATGTTCATTGGTGGGAGGGTAACTTTTTAAGTTCGAGCTTCTTCATGAGCTGCTGTGATCCATCGGTGCATGGCGGGCATCCAAAGAGCTGACATGCTGCGACCAAACCATCACCTTTGAGGCGCTTGCTGCCTCAGTCCAGCTTGAAAACGCCGGCGCCCGCGGAAGAATGAAAGAACAAGGTCCCTGGAACGATTCAGGCTTCCGGCCAGCCGAAGAGCCGCATCCGCCACACACGCGGGGCACTAGCGTGCGCTCGTGCTCAACAAAAGGCCGAGGCACAACGACCATCATGTTGGTCCTGCAATGCAACGCTCGGAGAGTTGCAGACCCTCCCGCCAAAATCCTTTCCAGTCCAGGTTGCCTCTGGTGTTGATTGCCCACTTTACGTGTTCAAAGTGGAGGTTTGCAAATGACACTGGGTTTGGCTGTTTCTGTGTCTGGCTGTTTCTGTGTCTGCGTCTGACTCTGTCTGTCGCTGTTTGAAAAGCGCCTCAAAAAGGACCCGCTCCAATTTCCAGTGAAATAGTGAAATCATTTGTGGGACTCCCCCCTTCTCAAAGGACCAAGCCGTGTTCCGAGCCTCAGCATTTCGTGATTACCGTAACGACTCCTCTGCCAAAAGTTGACACTTTTTGTGGGTCCAATTCGGAACATCCCACTTGTTTCAACCAAAAAGTTAGAGCCCAAAGACCGCTATCCAAGACCCACAATGACAAAGACGAGAGGGCGACTGTCAACCAGCCATCCTTTGCCCCCTTCCTTATTCCCCTGATTCCCCTTATCACCCCCGACTCCCCCTCCCACCCCCCTAATTACTCTCACCTCCTCTCCCCCCCCCTCCCCTCCCCCACCCCCGACTCCCCCACCCCCGAACTACTCCCCCCCCCTCCCCCCCCCCGACTCCCTGCCAGGTCCTCTCTGCCTGCTTCAGGGCCCAGGGCAACTGATCCAGGCCCCAGGTCCGGAAGGCCTCCGACCGACGAGAGCGGCTCGACTCGGGGTCCAAAAAGTTGAGACCCTCCGCCCAACACGGCGCGCCCAAAACGAGAGGAAGGGGGGGAAGGGGGGGACAGTCCCCTCGATGGTGCGCCCAAAACGAGAAAAAAGGGGGGGAAGGGGGGGGGGGGGAAATGAGGAGTTTGTTTTTTTTCTTTTCTTTTTTCCGGTAGAGGGTAAATGGCAAACCCCTCTTTGGCCAAACAACCACTCCAAACCACCGAAGCACCGATGGGAGGGGGGCTGAGCATATTGGGCCAAATCCCCAGCCCCGAAGAAAAACTCCAAAGGCTTGGAATTGGACACAGGGAGTTGCCCCGCGGCATGCTCATGACCAAGAACTTAGGATGGGCAATTGGGGCTGTGCGGTCTTATTGTTGGCAGCGACCGGGTGCTAACATGGTGGCGGCCATGCGCGTCTTGATGACTTTTGGTGCATCAAGGCAATGTTTGACAGACCTAGCCAGCAGAATCGCAGGCTGGTGAAGAGGTTGTGATTCACAAATCCCGCTCTCGTCTACTGCTTGGATGGAATCCGTTCGTCCAGCCCCATGAACAAATTGGCAGTTGATGAGGAGGTCTCTTTCCGCTGCGCTGGACTAGTTGAAAACCCAAATTTATGTGCATCCCTTTTGCAGATGGAACACAAGGGAAACAAGTTGAATAGATCACTCAAGGCTAGCGGCTCGAATTGGCACGTCTTGAAAAGGCAACATCAAATCAAAGTGAAAAGGACAGCTTCCGGATACTGTCAAGTGAAAAGGATTGTCCAAGTCTTTGAAACGGCATCCGCCAGCCAACCCTCCCGTACACACAGTGTACATGCATTACTGTTTTCTCTCCCCTTGCCTTCAAGTATTTGCCCATGGCAACCAAACCGTCGCAAGGCGGCACAAAAGGCCATGCTCATAGACTCTGACTGGCTGACAGGCTGCCCGGTACATTCTTCCCCACCATTCCCAAGGAGACGCGTATAGGCAGGGGGGGTGCTGGCAACAGAGTATCCTGCCCAGACAGGCTGGAAAGTTTGGACGTGTAGGAAACTGTCTGGTCGCATTGGGACCCACCCCTAAATTGCCTTCTAGAGGTCGCCTGGCTCGTGGGATCAGCGAAAGCAAACAAGAAGCCCAAGTCCCTCAAGGTTAAACAGATGGACAACTACTATAACAAATGAACAGAACGCACCATTGAACTTTTCCAAAAAGGGGAATTGTTGGATTTATGGTTGATAATGTTCGTAAATTGGAAGGTGATGAAGGAGAGATTGAAGGTGATACGGAGGGAAGTACCCGATGGCCCTTGCACAAGCATGAGTGGCTCGCTTGCTGGCATTTGGAAACTTGAAGCTACTCATGACACGATCCGGCACCCGGAAAGTTATTTGTCGAGTCAAATCTCCGCCCCGCCCCCCTCCCCCAACGCTGTCACCCATCGATTGGCCGTTTCGGAGAGGACAAACAAACGCTTCGTCGATTCGAGAGAAAGGAAGCTGGAGTCTCCCTAACTCGTGCGAACCATCAAATTGCCCGTCTTGATGTACTTTCTTAACATGCAAGTGGACAAGGGGCGTTTCTAATTAGAAGGCAGTGCCACGCCCTCCTGCTCACTCCCACGTTAATGAGCGAAGTTGATATGATGTTTTCTTACGGAGCTCTCGGGCACCCCTAATATGGGTGTGTCTTTGTTGGGTGGACTCCCCAAAACGGATTCGGTTTCCCTTTCGTTTTCACTTTCAAACCAACCACCCTCAACAAAAGATAGACCCATATCTATGGTGGTTTCCCTTTTGTTTTCCCCTTCAAACCAACCAGCCTCAAAACAAGATAGACCCATATCTATGGTGGTGTCCCTTTTGTTTTCCCTTTCAAACCAACCACCCTCAAAAAAAGATAGACCCATATCTATGGTGGTTTCCCTTTTGTTTTCCCTTTCAAACCAACCACCCTCAAAAAAAGATAGACCCATATCTATGGTGGTTTCCCTTTTGTTTTCCCTTTCAAACCAACCAGCCTCAAAAAAGATAGACCCATATCTATGGTGGTTTCCCTTTTGTTTTTCCCTTTCAAACCAACCACCCTCAAAAAAATAGACCCATATCTATGGTGGTTTCCCTTTTGTTTTCCCTTTCAAACCAACCACCCTCAAAAAAAGATAGACCCATATCTATGGTGGTTTCCCTTTTGTTTTCCCCTTCAAACCAACCACCCTCAAAAAAAGATAGACCCATATCTATGGTGGTGTCCCTTTGTTTTCCCTTTCAAACCAACCACCCTCAAAAAAAGATAGGCCCATATCTATGGTGGTTTCCCTTTTGTTTTCCCTTTCAAACCAACCACCCTCAAAAAAAGATAGACCCATATCTATGGTGGTTTCCCTTTTGTTTTCCCTTTCAAACCAACCACCCTCAAAAAAAGATAGACCCATATCTATGGTGGTTTCCCTTTTGTTTTCCCTTTCAAACCAACCACCCTCAAAAAAAGATAGACCCATATCTATGGTGGTTTCCCTTTTGTTTTCCCTTTCAAACCAACCACCCTCAAAAAAAGATAGACCCATATCTATGGTGGTGTCCCTTTTGTTTTCCCTTTCAAACCAACCACCCTCAAAAAAAGATAGACCCATATCTATGGTGGTTTCCCTTTTGTTTTCCCTTTCAAACCAACCACCCTCAAAAAAAGATAGACCCATATCTATGGTGGTTTCCCTTTTGTTTTCCCCTTCAAACCAACCACCCTCAAAAAAAGATAGGACCACATATCTATGGTGGTTTCCCTTTTGTTTTCCTTTTATTTGTTTTTCATACTCAACCTAGGTTGTTTCCCTGGTTACCCATATCTATGGTGGTGTCCCTTTTGTTTTCCCCTTCAAACCAACCACCCTCAAAAAAAGATAGACCCATATCTATGGTGGTGTCCCTTTTGTTTCCCCCTTCAAACCAACCAGCCTCAAAACAAGATAGACCCATATCTATGGTGGTTTCCCTTTTGTTTTCCCTTTCAAACCAACCACCCTCAAAAAAAGATAGACCCATATCTATGGTGGTTTCCCTTTTGTTTTCCCTTTCAAACCAACCAGCCTCAAAAAAAGATAGACCCATATCTATGGTGGTTTCCCTTTTGTTTTCCCTTTCAAACCAACCACCCTCAAAAAGCGATAGACCCATATCTATGGTGGTGTCCCTTTCGTTTTCCCTTTCAAACCAACCACCCTCAAAAAAGATAGGCCCATATCTATGGTGGTGTCCCTTTTGTTTTCCCCTTCAAACCAACCACCCTCAAAAAAAGATAGACCCATATCTATGGTGGTGTCCCTTTTGTTTCCCCCTTCAAACCAACCAGCCTCAAAACAAGATAGACCCATATCTATGGTGGTTTCCCTTTTGTTTTCCATTTCAAACCTAACCACCCTCAAAAAAAGATAGGACCCATATCTATGGTTGTTTCCCTTTTTGTTTTAACTTTCAAACCTACCACCCCCAAAAAAGATAGACCCTTATCTATGGTGGTTTCCCTTTTGTTTTTCCCTTTCCAAACCAACCAACCCCCAAAAAAAGATAGACCCATATCTTGGTGTTGTCCACCCAGTGGTTTTTCCCCTTCAAACCAACCAGCCTCATAACAAGATAGGACCCTTATCTATGGTGGTTTCATTTTGTTTTCCCTTTCAATACTAGAACCAATACCCTCAAAAAGATAGACCCATTATCCGATTTTTTGGTGGGTTTACCTTTTGTTTTCCCTTTCAAACCAACCACCTCAAAATAGATAGACCCATATCTATGGTGGTTTCCCTTTTGTTTTCCTTTTCAAACCAACCACCCTCAAAAAAAGATAGACCCATATCTATGGTGGTTTCCCTTTTGTTTTCCCTTTCAAACCAACCACCCTCAAAAAAAGATAGACCCATATCTATGGTGGTTTCCCTTTTGTTTCCCCTTTCAAACCAACCACCCTCAAAAAAAGTTTTTTTTTTTTGACCATATCTATGGTGGTTTCCCTTGAGATAGAGATAGATAGGAGAGAGGATAGATGATGTAGATAGTGGTAGATATCAACACTCAAACTCTCTCCCCCTCACACACCACCCCCACGATCAGTCCCTCTCCCTCCCAAATGTTAGACCCATATATATGGTCGCGCACGCACGCGTTCCCTTGTGTTTTCCCCTTTCAAAACCAACCTTTCATCATAAAAATGATAGACCCATATCTATGGGTGGTGTCCCTTTTGTTTTCCCTTTCATAACCAACCACCATCAAAAAAAGTTTAGGCCCATATCTATGGTGGTTATCCCTTTTGTTTTTAACATCAAACAACCACCCTCAAAAAAGATTAGAAAACCCATATCTATGGTGGTTTTCACTTTTGTTTTACCTTTCAAAACCAACCACTCAAAAAAAGTAGACCCATTTCTATGGTGGTTTCCCTTTTGTTTTCCCTTTCAAATCTACCACCCTCAAAAAAAGATAGACCCATATCTATGGTGGTGTCCCTTTTGTTTCCCCCTTCAAACCAACCAGCCTCAAAACAAGATAGACCCATATCTATGGTGGTTTCCCTTTTGTTTTCCCCTTCACACCAACCAGCCTCAAAACAAGATAGACCCATATCTATGGTGGTTTCCCTTTTGTTTTCCCTTTCCAACCAACCACCCTCAAAACAAGATAGACCCATATCTATGGTGGTTTCCCTTTTGTTTTCCCCTTCACACCAACCAGCCTCAAAACAAGATAGACCCATATCTATGGTGGTTTCCCTTTTGTTTTCCCTTTCCAACCAACCACCCTCAAAACAAGATAGACCCATATCTATGGTGGTTTCCTCATTTTTTGTTATCCCTTTCTAACCTAACACCATCTAATAGATGATTAGACCCATTTCTATGGTGGTTGGGGTTATTTCCCCTTTTGTTTTCCCCTTCACACCAACCAGCCTCAAAACAAGATAGACCCATATCTATGGTGGTTTCCCTTTTGTTTTCCCTTTCCAACCAACCACCCTCAAAACAAGATAGACCCATATCTATGGTGGTTTCCCTTTTGTTTTCCCCTTCACACCAACCAGCCTCAAAACAAGATAGACCCATATCTATGGTGGTTTCCCTTTTGTTTTCCCTTTCCAACCAACCACCCTCAAAACAAGATAGACCCATATCTATGGTGGTTTCCCTTTTGTTTTCCCCTTCACACCAACCAGCCTCAAAACAAGATAGACCCATATCTATGGTGGTTTCCCTTTTGTTTTCCCTTTCCAACCAACCACCCTCAAAACAAGATAGACCCATATCTATGGTGGTTTCCCTTTTGTTTTCCCTTTCAAACCAACCACCCTCAAAAAAAGATAGACCCATATCTATGGTGGTTTCCCTTTTGTTTTCCCTTTCAAAGCAACCAACAAGTTTTTGGTACCCTCAAAAAAGACAGACCCATACCTTTCACAGCCCAACGGACCACGCCCCGTGACCCCGCCGGCGGGCCCCGCACGCAACGGGGCCCGCGCCTCGAAGTTCATCGCCTTCGCCAGGGAGCCGTGCAAGAAGCCGCCCACTCCTGACCAAAAGGATCGGTGTAAGTTTCGCACCGATCGGTCAAAAGAGGCAGTCGGACCTTGGCTGGGTGCAGTCGGACCCCAGCATATACATATATATAATATATATATATATATATATATATATATTATTATATTATGTATTATATTTGTTGTTTGCCCGGTTAGTGGGCCCCCCCCAAAAAAAAAGAGGAACTAATTCCGGGGAATACATTTGGTTGGCCTGTGTCTGAGCTTGACAGGTCGGGAGGGTCGTGCTTGCCAGGATTTCCCGCGGAAAGCCGTGAACTTGCATCGTGAGGTGCCGAGATGAACCCACAAACACTTGTGGAGTAGCAGATTGGGTTTTGGTGCTTCTCTTGGCTGATTTCCGAACCCATGCTTGGTTGCTGTAACAACCCCACTGCAAACAGTTGACCACTTTTTGTGGGTTGAATGTAAAACCTTGGGCAGTTGCAGAGTATCCTTTGGAACCAAGCAGTATGCCAATACCTCAAAAAGGACGCAGCCAGGCTGTTTTGGGTTGCCCTTGACTTCCCAAAAACTTAGTCTAAAGAACCCAACAGCAATCAACGAATTGGGGGGTTTCCCTTCCCCCCCCCCCGAAACGAAAAGCAAACCAACCAAACCAACCCGCTGGCCCTTTGCCCCCCCCCCCCCCCCCCGAAACGGAAGGCAAACCAACCAGCTGGCCCTTGGCCCATCTGGCCTACCACCTTGCCCGGCAGCTTCCCGAAGGGCTGGCCATTCACTCGCAGCTCCCCCGTTGCCACAGAGACGGCCTGGGCCACTGAGGCCCCACACGGCGCCGGCGCCGGCTGAGTGACCACTTGTTGCCCGCATTTGCCGGGGGGGGGGGGGTGGGCGCGCTGCTGAATTCGTTTTTTGTGTTTTGGGGGGGGGGGTTAAGCCGGAAAAAGGGGCTGGTTGCCTACAGTGGGCAAGTGGAAGCCCAAAAAAGGGACTGGTTGCAGAATACCAGTAGCAGTGACCTCTACATCTTAGAGGGACTGGTTACCTGCAGTGGTAACTGGAATCCACCTTATAGCTAGAATTGTACAGTAGCTTGGAGCAAGTGCTGGGCAGGCTGCGAACTTGGGGAACAGTAGTTAGCTGGGGTCCGTGTGAACCTGGGTCACTGATCCCCCTGGCTTATCTACACCGAACTGGGCAATCATCCTTGTGGGTGCGCCAGACCTGTGCATGAAAGCTCCGTACAGTAGGAGTGCCACTGAAACACAGTCCAGGGGGTCGTTTTTGCCCGAAGTATAAACGATACTTTCGATGCCTTCCAACTGGAAGCAACTTTTCGGCAACGTCTCCACTAGAGCCGACTGGAAGCAACTGGAGGCAACTAACCGGTTGGAGCCTTCCACGTGCTAGCACCCACGTCCAAACCTGGCTGCCCCCGACCAATGGCATTTTCTTCGTTGCTGTGACAACCACGCTGCAAAGGGTGAATCATTTTGTGGGTCCAACTCGGAATTCCCACCTGTCAACCAACAAGTTTAAGTCCAAAGATCCGTTACACCAAATGGGCCATCATGTTGTCCATGTCTTGTCCGTGTGTTGTCCAAATTTCGCCCTCCGGTTGCTCGGCACCCGGGGCAACCCCATTCAGTCCAAGGATCGGGGCCCTTGGCACGCACGTCCAGCGCGGGTTCGGCAGACCACGCCTCGGGAGGTGATTGACTGCCCGACCCGGTGAGGGGACCACGGGAAGCTACCCGTTGCCGGCGCTACAGTTGACCTGCGTAGGGCTGTGGCTGAAATGACCACTTGCTTGATACAACAGAAAGGGCCTCCCAAAGACTAACCAGACAAAGCGGCATTTCCTTGTATCACAGAAGTGGGGACAAACCCCATCCCACGACCCTGGACCTGCGGGCAAAAAATCCTTGACTTAGAGGTCCGCCTGAGCGAGTTCAGCAACCCAAGCCAAGGCAGAGATTGGTCGCCTTAGGGGAAAACCAGCGACCAAACTTATCCTACCTCACAGCAGCTGGCATTTGCTGAAAGATGGTGAGATTGCCTGACTGGCTTCCTGTTATTGGTGGCTTGGGTGAACATGCCATGATTAGGTCCCGATCAGCTGTACTTGGTTGAGAAGACACCTTCAAAACAGAGTCTCCCAGCTCCCGTCCTCTGATTCGGGTCTGCGGGCCGACTCCATGCAACAGGTCTGGCCACCTCAAACCACCATGCACAGGGCGACCTGATATGGCTGACGTCCCCACCCAAACGGGAAATCGCATGCACCCAATTGGTATTCCAATGCTACTTTGGGTTGTATGCAAAACGGCATATGTTTTAATGGATAGGCAGCGCCCTCTTGATTCATTAACCTCATCTCACATGGTGCTGACCGTTGCGTCTCCCACGCCGCCGCCGGTTCATCCAGGCGCCCGCGCAAGGCGGCGCGCGGCGAACGAAGGAAGCTGCGGGGGCACTTCAAGCGCTTGCTTAAGCCTCAGCGCAACCACTCTCCCACTCACCCGTCGAAAGCTCTAACTACCCCTTGGACGGCTTAGATACTACGTCTCTGGAGTGAGGTGCTTGCATCCTGAGATGTTCTTGGCACAACAAGTGTGCTTAAATGCCTCGGCCAGGCTTGCCTCAAAGACCCTGCGAGAAAAAAAATACTGGCCCCCGATAAGAGCAACACCGAGAAGTAGATTCGCCTTTCTACCGATTCCGCAGCGATGGCAAATCAAGAACAGACTGATCCACGCAGTTCAGCCTTCGCAATGGTTGGCTTCGTGCTGCTTTTGGCCCATGAGAGGGGCGCGTTGCAACACATGGGTTCAGCTTAACCCGGCTTCGGCCTTTAGCCGCGAGGTGCCGTCAACGGCAAATGGGTTCCCTATGAGTCAAAGGCATCCTGCCCAAAAAAAAAAAAGAAAAGGATTTTTACAGACAGCAGAACTGTTGGCTGTTGTTCAGCCTCTTCACTGATTCAGAAGCACTGAGCCTATGCACAAGGACACTGGAAGAATGGCTCCGACCGAACCCGCAAGAACAAGCTTGAAAGTTCCGGCTCCAGGCAAGCGATCTTAAGTCACTCCTTTCTGTCTCTTCTGCCCCCTGATTTGCACTGAACGTATTGCTCGTTTAGAAGGCCCCGGCGGGTACAGCAGGCATCCCGCCGCGAAGGCAAAGAGTAGCAGCTGCCAGTTGAAAGCCATGGCTGCGGCAAAGAGCTTCGCCAAAAGAAAGCTTCGCCCCGCAGAAATGTGTCGATCGAGGTGCGAGCTGCTTGGTGGAGGGGTATGGCTGCTAGTTCTGATGCACGTCGCTAGCCCTTTTCTGGCCACGTGCGTACGTGGTACCAAATGTTTTGCCGTGGGCATGGAGCATGAGGTCAGGCAAGCCTTCTCGACAGTGCAACAGCTGAATCATGCAAATGCCGATCAGAAACCAAGCCAGGAAACCGCTGAACCACCGCAGATCATGCTTGATGCTGTGGCATGCAGACAGGTAGCTCGGCCCGTGCCGGCGCGTGATGATGCATCATTGCTTGCCATCCTGAAAATTCCAACACGCTTTGCACATGGGAATTCTGGGGACATGAGTCCTATGGGAAACCGGGAAACCCTGTACATTGCCGAAACGCATGTGGCAAATCAGGAATCCAGTTGGAAGCAAGCAAAGCAAAGCAAAACAAAGCAAAGCAAAGCAAAGCAAAGCAAAGCAAAGCAAAGCAAAGCAAAGCAAGCATCAAGCTGGAGGAATCCCCGGTGCTTTGGCCTTGCTACCTGTCAATAGGCCATTTTCGGGAGGGACATTCCAGAACAAACAGCCACATACTCTTCTTGGCAGGTCTGGCGAGTTTTGATGGATGCAAAGAAAACCAAAACTCTTTATCCCACCAGGGCAAACAAGGTGTCGAAACGCATCTTAGGTCACCTGAAGGCGTGGTACATCGCCCATCCTGGGGCTGATTGGCTGCCAAGTCCAGCCCCCATTGCCTCAGCCCAGCACCTCTCAGGACGCGCATCGAAACCTGCCAGCCACTAGCGTGGGATTCAGCTTTGGACCAAGCCGAACTGCGACCGCGTTGACATACTGCCATCAGGGAGCCAGTGAACTAGATTTCGCTTGCTGGTGCTAGGGAGTGAGGGAATGAACCCAGCTTAAAGAAAATAACAAGGGATTGTTCGTAGGGGTCATTCCTTCATTCCCTGAGCACCAGCAAGCTCAAGGAGCTACATTGTCACGCTCGATAGTTAACACTGCTGAGCACATTGAAGACCAACCATAGCAAGTCCTATGAACCCTCAGCCTCGGAAATCGGAATCCCGGCTGAAACAACGGGTTCATTCGGGTCAATGGGAGAACCCCCAAAACCACAACAGGGGTCGCAGGATTATCACCACCTGGGGTCTTTTTGAAGGACTTCAAACAGGTTTGGAGCCACCAACGTGTGGTGTCGCTCGCTCATGGCGCTGCCGGGATTTTCGCCCTCTGCGTGCTTTGCACTCAGTAGAGGGGATTTTGCTTAACTTCGCAAACACGCCCTGGCCTGAGTTTCGGCTTTAGCTGGTTGAAAAAGAAGCGTTCATCCGATTCGTTGTCGAATTCGGCAGCAAGAAGGAAGTCTGCATCCGTGCCCTCCATTTTGTTCACTTCTGTAACTTCTCAAGAGCATCTTCTGTCGGGCTGGTGATGAAACGTAATGCAAGGCTAAGGTATAGGGGCCACGCACCTCTATCAGTCGATTCATAGCCAGAAAACCGTTGAAGCCTCTGGTGTTTCGAATGGAGCCAGGCCAAGCACCATGCTGCACCCAAGCAACATGTGGCATCCAAACGTGTGCCGTTGCCCAAGCTATGCCAATCTATAGATAACATACACAGCACCTCTGCCCCACTTTCGTGGCATGCGCGCGTTGTTGTCCGCGCCTCGCTCCAATCATCCACTACATCCTCCAATAGAGAGGTTAGAACAAGTTGGTACCAACTTTTTTCTGTAGTCTATTGTAGTAGGGGAATTCTCCCCCAAATAAAAGAAACGGTAAAACGGCACCTAGCTGGGGGACCTGGTCCACCAAGGAGTCCCCAATTTAAGCGCGAGTGGTTCATGGCGAACCCACCCCCCGCCTGCCCGGCCGGCTGGCCCGAAGCATGGCCACCGGCGAAGGGCCAAAGCGACGGACCGGCCCCCAGCGAACCAAGGAATCCACGTCTAGGGGACATATTCCCCAGGAATCCACCTCTCGCTGCTCTCACTTGCCCCCTGAAAAGCCTGGAAATCCACCTTTTGGTGAAAACTACAAGGTCCAAAGGTCGATTCGCTTTGGGTGACTGAGTGCTGCATGATATATGCGGAAAACAAGTGGCATAGGTAGGATCCACCCGGCCATCCAACTACTTGCGGGACTGGGTGACAAAACCAATCTTCGAAGGGCAAGATCACCAAATTCTCCCAGTAGGGGCTTTCGCGTGCACAAATCTAGGAACAATCCATGTGGCAACTGGACTGCCCTGATCCCCTGTTCAAAGTGAGTCTAGCTACTTTCAGTGGGTTAGATTCGGAAACTACCACTAAACCCTAAAAACCTTGAATGCATATGAACTGGATGGGTGGGAGCCACTAGATACGCTGGAGATTCTGGTGGCTTTCATTCAAAAGCGCCTGCACTTGGGCCCCATGGCCTTCTGCACCGACGGACCGCAAGTGGGCCGAAACGGGCGTTCAGACTCAAGTGGCGGCGCAGAGCTTCCCGTTTTTGGAGCTTTGTTTTCATCGTTGGGCCAGGGAGAAGAACAACTTTGGAAAAGACCCTCCAACGGTGCCAAAAAAAAGGCCACCGGGGGCTTTTCTGTCGGATTTTTGTTTCTCCATGTTTACCACTTGTTTACCCAACCGGTGCAAGCATCATAGGGGCCCAACAAGATGTTGCATGCCTTGCACCCCAACCTGCGGCACAACAGGCTCAAGGCAAACTGTCCACCTCTGACCTCTGACAATGCGAGCCCGTGCCTCGCACGATTGAAGTGGGTGCATGAAGAGATGCGTTCGAAGAGGAAAAACGCGGCAGATGGTCGAAGATTCCTGGGGCCCTACATGCCGCTTTGTTTTACAAGGTCGGTTCCACCCTGCGGAGCCGCCAAAAAGGGGCCCTTGGCGGGCAGGATGCAGCTTTGAGATGGGGTGCCAGCACCAGGGTAACAAGTCCAACCTCAAGCTTCCCCTCCCCGAGAAAACAACCCTGTCGAATGCGACTCAGCATCCGGTTGACGATTTACTTTCTGGATCAAGCGTCAAGTCTACTCCCATGTGTCGCTGATTTTGCTGCTCCATGCGGCCCCCACATGTCCCCTGCCCACTTGCCCACTTGCCCACTTGCCCTCCCTGCCCCCCAGTGCTCTCAACACTCCAAGGAACAAGACCGTGAGCTGCTCTGCCACATCGTTGGCATCCGGCGCTCTCCTGCATGAGGCAAGATGTTTGGATCCAGGGCCGTCATTGAAGCCCTCAAAAGGGAGAAACACCCAAAAGAAGTCGGTTGCAAAACAGCCCCTCTGCCCCCCTTAGGTCCATTATGGGGGAGTGGGTGGCGGGTGGGCACGGTTGATTTTTTAACTAGCCGGCACAAGGCCTCCCGGAGGTTGGTGGCCGCATCGCCAGCATTACCGGTTTCTTGTCACGGCTGCGTATGGGGCATGACTTGATGCTCGGGATAGCCAGCCGCATCGCCAGCATTACTGGCCTCACTCGGACGAGAGCTGCCTATTGGCTTTGATTTGGTGGCAGTTCAGGGTTGATCGGGGCTGGTTTGGGGTGAGTGTTGGGCTTGCTGAGATATTAATGCGGGTGGGTCTTGGGTTTGTTTGGGGTTCATTTAGCCTCGGCAAAGGGCCGATATGCAGGATGCGGTTACATTCAACCGCATCCTGCATATCGGCCCTTTGCCGAGGCTAAATGAACCCCAAACAAACCCAAGACCCACCCGCATTAATATCTCAGCAAGCCCAACACTCACCCCAAACCAGCCCCGATCAACCCTGAACTGCCACCAAATCAAAGCCAATAGGCAGCTCTCGTCCGAGTGAGGCCAGTAATGCTGGCGATGCGGCTGGCTATCCCGAGCATCAAGTCATGCCCCATACGCAGCCGTGACAAGAAACCGGAAATGCTTGGGATGCTGGGGATGCGGCCGCCCAGCTGACCAACCAACCAACCAACCAACCAACCAACCAACCAACTAACCAACCAGTCTCCGAGCCGGGCCCCGAGCCGGGGCTAGTAAAAAAGAAACACCGGTTCCGATGGGCACATATTGCCAAAAAGTTGTAGGAAACAAAAGTGGCGCAGGACGACAGACATAGGGCTTTGCTGTCCGAAAACATCGTGCCGGCGTTCCTGAGGCGAAAGGCACCCTGAGATGGTGGGCTTGCAATGCAGGTGCCCTCATGGAATACCTACGCAGTTCCCCGTGACTAGAAGAAGGATTCAGGATGCACGACGAAGCGCCCGAACTTACGATATGTCCGCATCAACCCTTTGCTTGCCCCCGTCCTTGCCACAAAGTGCAATTGATGCACCCCTTGGAAAATTTGATTGACATGGGGATCCTTGACAGGGTCCTCGACCATAACATGTTTGGCATTTCATGTTGACCCCATATTAAACAACTCCATGTGCAGTTTACTATAGGGGGGAATCCCTGAGTTAGTGCGGGATCAGACCACTTTTGGAAGGGAACACCCCTAGGTCCTCCAGTAGAGAGGTTAGAATAAGGGTACCTTGTTTTTTCTGTAGTCTATTTAGAAGGAACCCTCCCCCAAAAAAGGGTAAAAGGGCACAACCCTCCCCCAAAAAAGGGTAACAGGGCACTACTGGGGCACCTAGCCCCCTATTAATAAACTGGGGTTATGCAGCTTCATCTCGAGGATCAGCCACCTTCTGCGCCAAACAGCCCCCTCCGCGCGAGCGAGCGCTCCTGTCCCCCCGGCCGATCTCACGGCCAAAGATGGTGGGACGAGGCGTTGAGCCTTAGTTCGTGTGACCTAAATCGGGCACCCCCTCTGGGTTGTCCCAATATGGCCATGGGTCAAAATCTAAATCGTACCCCCAGTAAACCTCCCAATCCAACCACTAAAATAGGTTTTAAAATTGGTGGTGCACCTACCCCAAAATGGTAGCGTTGGTTTTTTTGACCCACAGCCATACGTCCCAATGTTGTAGGGCGCACCCTACATCTGCATTGCGGTTCCTCAGACGCCCTTTGC